GCCGGTCTTCTCCTTAGCGATTAAATTAAAATGAAGATGTTCAGAAGGAATAAGTACTGACTAAAGAAGCTGAAATTTCTATGTTACTTTGCTATTTAAATTTCTCGGGTCAAGAATTTCTAAGCCTGTCTCCCTCACAAGACGAGAGAATAGCGGAAAGTTCTCTGCCCGACCTACTTTCCAAAATATGCATGGGTATTTCCTTCTTCGGTTGACCGAATAATTTTAGCAAACTCTAATATCTCTACTACGTCTTTACTTACACATCTATCTACCTACCTCTGTCTCTCCCTCTCCCTCTCTCTCTCTCTCTCTCTCTCTCTATATATATATATATATATATATATATATATATATAATGATAAATTTAGAAGATTAAGAAAATTCATCTCGATTATAATTTATTTCATGAATATTGTTATATTCATCTCTTCAGACAGAATATTTTTTTTAAAAAATGGAATCCATCCAGACAGACATACCAGGATGAAAAGAAGAAAGGGAAAAAAGAGAGAACAAAATAGGAAGAAAAAATAATAAGAAAAAATTTAAAATTAAGAAAAGAAAGAAAGAAAGAAAGAAAGAAAGAAAGAATAAATAAATGGTGAGCCAATAGCCAAATTAAATCGACCTAGAAAAAATTCCTTAAAAGGACTTACATAAAGATGAGAGAACAAATTAATATACGAGGTAAGGGAAAGTATAGAGATGGGAAGAAAAAGAATATTTTGGTTTGGTTTGGTTTGGTTTATTTTGTTTTATGGCATATCAACCTCAATGGGTTATTTAATGCTGACAACAATTTTTTATTGTTGGTAATATTTTGTTTTGTCAAAAATCTGTTTCTGCTAATATATTTCCTTCAAAATTGTATTGCTGGTAATAATTTTTTGCAAAAAGGTATTGCTGGTAATAGTTAACTATTTGCCCATAGCTGGGACCCTAACAGGTGCTACCACCCCGGGTCAGGTGGTTATATGCTCCTCAAAACCTCCTGATCAGGGGCCTTGCTGTTGGACGTAGTTTAACGTCTTACCCAGGACGCAGATGTAGTTTAACGTCTTACCCAGGACGCAGATGTAGTTTAACGTCTTACCTAGCACGAAAAAAGGGATAGGAAGTTAAAACTTCTGCAACAATGTGTAAAAGTGCTGTTAGTTTAGACGGCATCATCATCGTCACATATTGTAATCATCATCATTTTAAACTAATAATAATAATATTAATATCCAAAATAAATAAAATAATATAATAAATTGAATAAAAATCAACCTTGTTCCCTCTTCTTTATGTAAGTCCTTTTCGGGAAACATTTTCTAGGTCAATTTATCTTTACTATTATCTCAACATTTATTTCTTCGTTTATTTTCTTTCTTTTTATTTTTTATTCTCTTAATTTTGTAATTTTTTTCTTTTACTTCTTATTTATCTTGATCTTTTTTTTTCTCTCCTTCTTTTTCACTTTCTCCATTTTATCCCGATAGAATCCCTGTCTGAATGGATGGATTCCATTTCTTAAAAATATAAGGATGAATGAAGACCGACTTCAGCACCGTCACCGCTCGATGTTGACCCCTGGAGTCCACTTTTACAGTTACCTTCATCCTATCCCTGATATTAAACACTTTTAGCCATTAATTTAGCATACCTTTAAAATGTAAATTCATCATATATATTTTTAATCTTTAAAATTTCCGAATAAGTTGTTTTGGGTTGGCGGTAAACTTGGCAAAATTTTCCGGGTACTTTCGAATATTACGACACTTCTTTTCAAGGATTGTTCTGTGTGTAGTTACGCAACTAGTCTTTAATCCTGGGGGTACATCACCTTGATTGACTTGAAATTGGGGTCCCATCAAATATGAGAAGAACAGAATTAAAAAAAAAAACAGTTACGTAATTACACACCGAACAATCTTTAAAAATAATGTAGTAATATTCGAAAGTACTCGGGAAAAATAATATAAAACAAAAGTTATTATAAAGTTTAGAAACTTTACCAATATATATATATATATATATATATATATATATATATATATATATGTGTGTGTGTGTGTGTGTGTGTGTGTGTGTGTAATATATATATATATATATTTATGCAATATATATATATATATATATTATTTTATATTATATATGCGGGTATTTATTGGAATCACAAATAGCGTGAAACCTAGGGTCACAAACTCACATCAATCCAACTAAATATATATATATATGACTATACCAACTAAATATATATATAAACTATATATGTATGTATGTATGTATATATGTACACACACGTATATAGTCATTATGTTGGTCAATGTTTTCAAAATAAACTTGATATTAATGAAGTAAATGTTGGTAAAACTTTCAGGATATATCTTTATAATACTTATTAGGCTTTTATTAGAAATATTTACAATTACTTATTAGTACAGTTTAAGATTTTATCTTTAAATTCAAGAGGGATTTTTGTATTGAAAATAATATTTAAATGTATATTATATATACATTATATATATATATACTCTATATACATTTTATATATATATATATATATATATATATATATATATATATATATATATATATATATATATATATATATATGTTTCATTAAATAATATAGACAAGTGCTGTCTATTTTTTTATGTAAATTCTTTTCATAACGTCTGATAAGCTTAATAACATTATCATTAAACGAAGAAAGAAAATCTCAATATTGATCCATATTTTTTAATCCAATCTAAGCTTTCGGCTTACATAAGCTATTATCAAAGTTGTAAATTGCTGTACAACATATTAAGCAATATACGGACAAGACAGTGATGATAGACTGTTTCTGTTTACATAGATGATTTCCTAGCAACGATAAACACTAGAAGCGAAAATCGCACCGCAGCTCATGACGTCACACATGACCACGCGAGAGTGAATTCGAGAAGTATTAAGTATGGGAAGCCGTTGATATATACAATGTATTTAATAGAAAGGTACTTTTAATAGTCAGTTATATGAGAGATTGAGTCCTTCATACACGCTTAGACGATCATGTATATTTTGATACATAACTGACGAGGCAGATTTTTTTTCCCGCAGTAGGTTGCCATTTCTTTCTGCGGTAGACCAGTTGCCATCCAAGGCTATAGAACCCGGTCTGTCCTGCTATTACCATGTTTTAAAACCTTACAACGTTATTTTTGTGAATTCCTTTTTTTTATTTTAAGCAGTACGTATTATGTCTGTTCGTCAAAACACTCGAGAAAAGTTTATAAAAATGTGTTCTCCGAAAAGAAATAGCAGATTTTGACATTATTGAATATTAGCAGCACGATGTTGGAAATTGCAGAGGATAAGAAATATGAAAAGTGTAAGGACCAATATAAAAAAAAAAAAAAATTAAGAAAAGGGTATTGAGCAACAAAAAGAATAATCAAGAAGAGAGTAGATAACGATTGACACTGCATTTAAATTTCTGAAGATTAAAGTTGGCAGGAAAGCGTGGGTCCGGAAGAGATTTCCACAAGCAAGAAGTGCGATAAAAGAAACTGTTAGCAAATAATTTACGGTTAAATCTAGCCTGTAAATTGATGAGAACCTGTCGCCAGTCTAGTTCTGCCCTTAATTTTTTTAAAAATCTAGGTACCATAGTGAAGAGCGATATTTATTTCCGCTTATTTACAGAAAATATGGCACAAGGCCAAAATGGGCAATGGGGGAAAGGACAGTCCTTTTCTGTCATAACTTTCAACTTAGCTAGCCACAAACACTGGCCCACACATACAATATTCCTTACACCAAAACAACGCATTCTTACTTACCTTCCTTACTACATCCACCATAATACCTCATTGTCTCTATGAAAATCCTAACTAGTCCACATATGTACAATTCATTGTCTGTTGAGGGAGGGGAATAGAACAAAAATTTTAAAACTAGCCCCAACGAGTATTTACAATATGAAAACAAAACTATTTACAAGAAAGCAAATAAAATAATGCTAGTAATAACTCAATACCCCCAAACCTTAACTGTGACAGAAACATCAATGGACGAAATCAATGCGGGACTGTAATAATATAAAACATTCATTCATTCCTAGCGCTTAGACAAACACACACTCATTCAGACAGAAAAACAATAGTGAAGAGCTTATCTGAACAAATACCATGAAAGTATTTAAAAAAATACACAGATGGGAATTTTACGGCAGAGGGAAAGTGACTAAAGTTGAGATGCAGGACCAATGATTTTGCTGATCTTCGTTGGATCTTTTCAAGGATTTTTTTTTCAATATTAAGAGCATCGGCTCATATAAGCAGCAATATTCTAGAGAAATTGAGTCTTTCATAGAAATAATCAGCCAACAGGGCAATACAGACATTCGTGTATATGTGTTTGGTTTTTGACTCTACTGATAATGTTTATTTTAACTGTTTAATTTTCGTTTGTTGGATGCTTCGTTGCTAATGGAAATCACGAGCCCGAACAAGTAGATAGCAAAGGTATTATGCAAAACGATCGGCTCTGTTGAAATAATCTCGTCTTTTCTGTTTGAAAACGAAAATCCAAACTTTTTCGGTATCCGAAATCTACACCTGAAACACTTGACCTCTGAATGTTGCATTCGCGCTAGATTGATTTGTCTAATAGATAATAATTCATTTCAATCACAGTCGTTGGCGGCTTTATCATAGGGTTGACTGCGAAAAGAGGCCTGACTAGCCGCGGTTCAGTTTGAGATGAGAAATTATATGGCCCACAGGAAATGATCACAGTTCAAAACGTGAAATTATATAAAAAGAAAGACAGAATTTATTGTGTATGGGCAGCCATCTGTTACGGGCTCTGAGTGCTTTCTCGAGAATCGACAGCAGATATTTACTTTTGGCAAATGATATAAATGCTTTTGGGAATAAAATCATAGGAGATGCCGTTTCCTATATGTGTGTGTGTGCGGAAAGATAAAACTTATCAATAGACGGCCATAAACACATTGACATAAAATTCTAACGATAAATAAATAGCAGACTGGGATAGATAGATAGATAGATATTAATAGCCTGAGATAGATAGATAGATAGATAGATAGATAGATAGATAGATAGATAGATAGATATTAATAGCCTGAGATAGATAGATAGATAGATAGATAGATAGATAGATAGAAAGAAAGAAAGAATACATTTGTATGTTGATAAGATTTCAAGTTCATTGTTTATGTCTAAGTTTATTATTCGAGATTCGTATGAAGTTTCTGATTGATCCCACCCTTTTGTTTTCTATCAGCTTCTATTGTTCCTCTTGCACCTAAAAACGGGGATGTATCCGGAAATACTTTGTCTTAGCGAAAACATTTCATGTATAATATCGAGTCTTTTGTGATTTTTTGCAATTTGAATTCTTTACTACTTGACCGACGTTCTCGGCCATTGGACTCTTCGTTGGGTTAAAATGAAAAAAATAGAAAATAAAGCCAAAGAGGGAAGTACACATACCCAAGCGTAAACACACACGTATATATATATAAGGATTTCCCAAACGTAGCTTAAATGTGGCACAAGGCCGAAAGTATAGTGCATTCTGTGAAAATAGAACTCACTACTCAGTCGTAATTGTTCTAGAGAGACAAGCTTACTAACCATTACACCGCCTCGGGGTGCCCAAACACGCATATATATGTGTGTGTGACCAGTGTTTGTGTGTGTGTGTGTGCGCGCGCGCATGTGTTAGAGAGAGAGAGAGTGATAGCAGTGTGGCCTTAGAAGCCAGTACTGCATGATGACTGCTAATTTCACCATCATCTGATGATCGCTTATAACGGGAAACAGCTTATCTGCTTGTATTGTTGCGTCTGTTTTGCCCAACTTTTTCCCAAATATTAAAATTGCATACATTTGTAATAATTACACGTGGACAAAAAAAAGAGACTTGTTTTGAACAAAGTTACAAACCGAGAACATTAATAAAATTCCAGCAAAATCTATCAACATCAAACAACAGTATTTTATCAAAACAGGTTTATTACTTACTGAATTGTTTTGTTTGTTTTTTCGCTTTGTGTGTACGAATTTTCGTTGTGTTCTTTGGCGGTAAAAATCAACACCAAAATGGTGATCTGAAAGAAAAAAGAGAACGTAATCAGTAATAGATAGATAGATAGATAGATAGATAGTATTATAATTCCCTATTGTAAGATTATTGTTATAACAGACAATCGTACTTGATATAAGGTAATTCTTTAAAGTATTCCCTATACGTAAGGTTTAAGTTAATGCCGTACGTCTATATAGTTAGAATGAAGACTGAGTCCGATGCGATCTACTCAGTCACCCGACTCAGATGAGTTGTGATACAAAGTCGGGATTATTGTGGGGAACCCGGGCGTTTTCACCCGGACAATATTGGACAAAATTTACCCAGCACACGCGAAAGTGGGCTTGGGTACATTACCTGTCTGTTATTCCCAGCCGTATCTCTATCCTAAAGCAGAGCCCCGACTGTGACATCCTTTGCTCGAAAACAAAGGTCTTGTCACCCTTTTGTCTTATCCCGAAACTGGGACTGACTCCGATGCGACTGGTATTTACCAGTCGCCGCACTGCAAACTAGATGCGACACACGGTCAGAGTTTTATGTGAGAAATCCGAGAATTTCCACCCGAGCCACTGGTCAAAATTTACCCAGCCCCCGCAAAAGCGAGCCCTTGTGCAGTACTTGTCTGTTTTTCTCAGCCGAGTCTATATCCGAAGTCAGAGCCATGACTGGGCCATCCTCCGTTAGAAGACGGAGGTCTTGCCACCCTCTGCTCGAACACAGAGGTCTTGTTTTATCGTGACCCTTTGACTGACTCCGATGCAACCGCTCGCCCCACTGCGGACCAGATGCGATACAAGGTCAGAGTTTTATGTTGGGAACCCGAGCGTTTCCACCCAGACCATTGACCCAAATTTACCCAACCAAACTCACGTATTTTGTCATTTTGTTTTCTTTATGTACACCACTGGTGCTACCCATTCCGATTTCTGCAAGACACCAATTCTTTCTAGTCTGTCCAACTCTTCATTTACTTTTTCTAATGGTGCGAATGGTACGCTCCGTTTTGGTTTAAATACTGGCATCAAATCTTTTTTTTTACTTGAAAATTCGCCTTGAATTTTTAACACTGATCCAGTTCATTAGGCAGAACATCAGGAAAACATTTTTTTAATTCTTCCTTCGGTATCTCGCTGTGACTTTTTTTAAATTTGTCACCTATCCACTTACATTTTTACAATAAACGTTTATCGGCAAATCCCACAGTTCGAATAGGTATTCAGTAATAAATACAAAACTTGCTCACAAAACGTACTGTATTGATTATACAAACATATCAATAATAAACATATTAATCCCTCAAATGTTCAAACTAACAGACCCCGTCATTCACACACCTCTTTACCTGCAAAACATTTATTATTATTATTATTATTATTTATTAAAAATTTTAATAAATGCATTATAATAAAAATTATGAAAATAAAAATATTAAAAATGATTTTAATAAATTAAATGAATTCTTGTATTAAATAAATCCTAGAACCACCATTATAAAACTAGTAATACTGGCATAATATTTACTGTATACCTACTTTTCCATCCCTCTGTATAGTAGGTTGTGTCATAAAGAAATTACGTTTATTTTTTTATCAACTACATTCATAAAAAATAAATTACAATAACATTTTATACAATTATATCTTCACCATTCTGTACAATGAATTGTTGTCACTTATCAAGCAGCTGTTCGATTCCGCTCGGGTAAAATTTCACAGCTTTTGATGCGAAAAAGTTTTAGGTGAACTATGAATCTGGTTTTCATCTGAGGAATTTTTCCCATTAATCCTTTTGCTGTGACCGGAAAAAGTAACAATCAACAGGCACAATTCGTGTGAATATGGCGGATCGGACAGAACAGACTAATCGAGTTCCATTTTTCTTTTTATCCACTATGTACGCTGCCAGTGCCGCGCAAAAACTAAGGTATGCCAGTGTATTCCATATTTATTCTTAACTGTCACGTATGATTAGCACCTAGAATGATTAGCACTTACTATGCTTAATCTGACTTAAAATCAAAGTGTAAGTAGAAAAACTGTATTGCGTCAAACGTCTAAGCATACACAACTTGCCTACTTTGAAAATCGGAATTCTGCCAATTTAACCCCCTGACCATTGGCACCAGTAGCAAATACAAAAACATCTTAGCTGGTAAGTACACACACATACATACATATACGCTTCTACCACCACCAAATGACATTAGACAATATCAAATATTGTAACAGCACACTAAATGTTTCTGGAAGCTAAAAAGCGAGGATAAAAACCAAATTATCACCTGGGAATTAGTAGCAAAAGATAAGCCTTTCACTGTGAAAGGCAGCAAATGTAACCTATGTCTTTCTGAAAAATTAATAATCCTGAAAAATATAAAAATCTCTTAAACAAAAGAAGTGAGTTGATGAGAACCTGCTTACCTAGATCCAAATTTCTACTCAAGCAGGTTGACCCGGAACCGGTGTCCACATATACTAGTATTGGTATTATTTTTATTAATATTTCTACTTTTTGCTTCCTTTACTATGCAACTATCGTTAATATTAGACTGTAACACATTTAAGATTTTTGCTTATCCATTATTTCCATTAGCTTATCATTACTTTTTTTTAATATATAACTTTATATTGTTTTCTTTCTTGTCTTTTTATTTTACCTTTATTCTTACTATTAGAAACGTATTTATTTATTTACTTATCTATTTGCAGTATTTTATTTTATTATTCATTTATTGCCTTATTTATTTAATCATTTACATCTATATATTCCTATATATATATATATATGGCTTTTTTTATTTTACTTTGTCTAATTTTATTTTATATTATCTTATTTTCATTGATATGCATTATTTTTATTTTATTTTATCACGGCATATTTTATTATTATTGATATCACTACTTTTAGTTAGTTCAATAATATTAATATTTATATTAATAATATTATTATTTACGTTATTGATTTTCTTGGTAAAAAATAGAGTTGCCCCCCTTGATCTAACGTCTTTCCTTATTCATTACTTTGATTACATCAGCGTCTCTCTAAGTTAGAAATTTTTTAAATTCTTATTTCCATCGTATTTTCAATCTTAAATATTAATCTGGGCCTAAATTAAAGATTAGGACAATAGCGAAAAGTTTTTATATATGTAGATGTAAATATATTCATATACATACATATATATTTATATCTTTAAAATGAAACTTATGAAAATTAGTTGGATGTTTAAAACTGCTTATCCGGTTGTCAACGCTCTGTAAGAAAATCCTCTGAACAAATCTAGAAATATCTTTATCATTCTTCTTAAAATCGCTGTTGTTAATTTGAAAAAATTAATAGTTGATTAAATTTAAAATAAATGTCTATGATATTTCATTGACTTTTAGTTTTGTAAAATATAGTGATTTAATGTAGGAATAAAAAAGTGAATTATGGCAAGAAAAATAAATTGTGTATATCAAAAGAAAATATTGAATACATATATTTCATATTATAATTTACGACAATATTATTTACGTGCAATAGAGAATTAAAATAAATTTTATTGTTGCGTAAGTATCTATTTTAATACTATTGTCTTATCCAGAAAAGGTGATCATACTTATTATAAAACCCAGGTTGTGTAGGTGTGTGTGTGTGTGTGTGTGTGTGTGTGTGTGTGTGTGTGTGTGTGTGTGTGTGTGTGTTCGCTTATATATTGGATCGGATTTCCTACATTTTTCAACCGATTTCAACACAACTTCACAGGACTACGTAAAATTACATTGCGGCGATTCTGACAGCGCCAAAAATTGGAAAAACACAATTGTTTTTGCACGAAAACAATTTGAAAACACGATTAACAGGCATCGCTATCGCGTGTATGAAAGGAGGACAACTCATATCGAGTTATACTTATTATAAAACCCAGGTTGTGTGTGTGTGTGTGTGTGTGTGTGTGTGTGTGTGTGTGTGTGTGTGTGTGTGTTCGTTTATATATGGGAACGGATTTCCTACATTTTTCAAACGATTTCAACAAAAATTCACTTTTTTTTGGCAGGTAGTGTTTCTTATTGTCTTGCACACTTTTTTCTTTATTTTTACATTCAGAATGCTTTACAAATTCCATTTACAAGACAATTGTTTATAATAAAATTATATTCAATCGGTAGAGTCATAACGATTGAAAACAATGTTTTTGTTTGAGTTTGGGTTTGACCAATTCGTACAAAAAAATACTAAAAAAAAAAACTAATTAAGACATGTGTGTCTGTCAACCTTAAACAATAAATTTTGTCAATTTTATTTTTCAGTCTTTATGATGGTCGATACTTGATCTATCTCTTACTGTTACATCCCCGGGCAACGCCGGGCTCTACTGCTAGTATGTTATAAAAATTTACTTTTTGATAAATCTAATTGAATCGTGATGTCATCTAACTCGTCTTGAACGTTTATGATGAATAAATTTAACTATTTGGGTTCTTTTAGTCGAAAGGGTGGTTTGTATATTTTGCATAAAGTATATTTTAAATAAAGAATTTAATACATCACCGATTTATTTAAATTTCATGCATCCTCTTTTATTCAACAAAAATTCGACTTGCCTGTTTTTTTTTTATCCGGTCCTAAACACTGAATTATCTTCAAGTCATGAAGTGTGTGAAGAAACAAACGTACCAGAATAAAGCAATTATGAATGACCCAGACCTGCAAGTAGCGTCGCGAATTCACCGCTTTCTGATTCAGTCAGTTATGTTCCATGCGTGATACACGTGTAGTCGATCATCAATACATGACTGACGAGGCAGATTTTTTCCTGCAGTGGGTTGCTATTTCTTTATACGGTAGACCAGTTGCCATCCAAGGCTATAGAACTCGGTCTGTCTTGCTATTTACCCATAGCTGGTGGGAGAATACTTATAATTCAAATTATAGACTAAACTAAATTTAATGAATATAGACATATGAAAACATCATAACAGATATATCACATAGATAATTATATAATCATAGCTTTGCCAAACGATAAAAAATTATTTTAGTGAGAGAATCCGCTTGCCAACACGGTACGGCCTTAATTTATGGTTGTTCATCAAAAATCAACCTACATCCTTCGATCCTACTGCAGACATCAGGACGTATTCTAATTCTGTTTCACTTGCACAATGGGGAGGTTCTGCTTGGAGGGCGACTTTGCGATCATCAGGCATCAGTGAATTTTTAGTTTCAATCAGAATAAGAACTCAGGATTTTCAACTGATATAAAGATAATGCCACATATTTATATAGTCATAGTGTATGGTTTAAAGGAGTAATCAAACGTTGTTCATATCTTTGTGAAAGAGAGGTTACAAAGCTAAAGCACATGTGGTTGGTCTTGGAATTCGTTGTACTCAAAGAGAAGCTCGCCTGTCGCCTTTGCATCACTGCAGTCGCTGCGAAATGTTTGCTTCTGCCCACATTTATGCATGTTGCCCCCCACTACAAACTTCGATCTTGTGCCGTTCTTGAACACGTGAGACGGCAAATATATCTCATACATCTCCATTAGCAAAATAGTCTGGCTGGCCGTATCATGTTTGCTATTGTATAATTCGTGATTTCAAAGCGAAAATACATATAAATCCAAGAGTTCAAATCATTTATTTCGATCGCCCAAATCGAGGCTCTTGTGAGACGAGCAAGCATTCAGTTGTGGTTGATATTGCGTTTAAAAAGAATAATCGAATGTTACAAAACTGTCAAGTTTAAATCCGTTTGATAACAGAAAACGCAGTTTATTTCTTTTGAGGTATTTTCGCTTGTCAGTCTCTGAATAATAACTTCCGGTTCCATAATTTCTAGTTTTTATTAACTCTTGAATTGGTTTCTAAGGTTACTAAGTTCAAAATGGCCACCAACACCACCACCATCTATGTTGGTCATTTTCGAAATGAAATTGTCGTCTATTTTTAAATCGCATTAACGGATAGAGAATTTTTTTTAAATAATTAAACTATTCCATTTAAGCTTCGATATATTTAACGCAACTTACAGATGAATCATAAGTTCTCCTTGTAATGAATGCTTTCCAAACTGACTGAAATCAAAATCGCTCATTTAAATCATTGTCTCTAAATGCTAATGTAATGAGATCAATCCTCACTGAGTGGCCAACATATGTTCTTGTGTCAGACTTAGAAAATTATTAAGACGCCTACTGTCTGAAATCGACTTTTTGATCACTGGCATCATCAGATTAAAAAACAAACATTATCGTACCATCCTATCCTTGGGAACATAATAGTAATATTAGCCATTTCCTTATATGGCAATATTTGCCATTTCCTTATATGGCAATATTTGCCAATTCCTTATATGGCAATATTAGCTATTTCCTTATATGGCAATATTAGCCATTTTCTTATATGGAAATACTCGTCATTCATTGACAGATCAGTCAGTGTTACATTCGGTTGAAATTTATAAAATCTTTCTATTAAAAGGATTTTTCAGGAAAATAGATTTGTCAAGTCCAGTAACGGCGATCGCCCTTTCCAGTATTGATGGGGTTTCTTTCCTAACCCTTTTTTAAAAGTAGTGTGTCATTATTTTCATTTTTTCTGTTGTTTGAAAGTCCTCAAGTGATGTGGCTTCTGTTATTTGGTACAGTTCTTTGGGATTCTGTAGCGCCAATCGGCAAGGTTCGAAGAAGGATAGTCCTCACTGAAATCTACATGCTTCACTCGTTGAGGCCATTTTTAATTTTTGATCTGAGAAATGGAATGCGTGCAGCTGATGTAACCGACAACTTTAATACATAGACTCGCTCTACTGGGGTCTGTAAGAGAGGATGAAGTGTTGCAAGTCGGTCGGAATAGCTGGGAAGAAATTAGATTGTTTATCCCTTTTCAAAGTAACTTCAATAGGGCATCAAATAACCTTGTATAACTTGACAAATGATTGTTGTACAAATGATCAAGTTGTTTCCTCTGATCTACACACACACGCAAACACACACGCAGACACACACGCGCATATATATATATATATATATATATATATATATATATATATATATATATATATATATATATATAAAAATTAAAGTTTTAAGGTATGCTATAATTATAGGTTAAAGTGCTCACTATCGGGGATAAAGCGTATGTAAATATAAAAGTGGACATTGAGGTCAACACCCAGCGGCTACAGTCTGTTTCATGCTTAAACGCAATCTTCAGAGGAGTGAGAGAGAAAGAGAGAGAATAAAATGAATGTAATCTTCATAACCTGAGGATTATGTTCAAGTATGAAACAGATTGCCGCCGACGGGGTTTACGTCAATGTCCATTTACACACACACACATATATATATATATATATATATATATATATATATATATATATATATATATATATAGAGAGAGAGAGAGAGAGAGAAGAGAGAAGGTTCCAGCTAAAATATGGTGTTCAACTATGTTCAATTTCTAGTTAAGAAAAACGTTACTGCAACTTTTGTATTTCATGCGTGTATGTATGTATGTAGTTATGCATGTGTGTATGTGCATGTGCATATATGTACAATATATATATATATATATATATATATATATATATATATATATATTTAATGTTTATTATTTCAATTATTCTTTTGATATGTTATTGTTCTAATGTATTGAAATTGATTTCCCATTCAAATATAATCTTCAAGTCATAAGTACTTACCGCTATAATTCCAACAGCTGGTCCTAAAAATAGCCATATGTGTCCCCAGTCAATCCAGCACCTTTGGAGAAGATAAAAAAAACATTGTCACATTTTCTTAAGAAATATAAACTTGACAATATTTTCTTCTTTCTTGATTCCATACTCTCGGATTCTCCTTGACGCTATTAAGGCAACATTGATTTTTTTTTTTCAATTTTTGTTTTATATTAATTTTCACCAAGACTCTAACGTCTTACGGCGGCCATATTACATTCAATCACCAATTCCCATACAATCACCGAAGGTAAGCAATGACGATATTCAGTCACCCCCCACAATGAGGGTGTCATGTGGCAAGGTAAGCAATGACGTGCCTCTTTATGATTCTACGTCATGTGTTCATTTTTGTTTCCATTTTCCTGAGAAAAATTCAAATTTACTAACATGTTCCGACCATGATATTCTTAGCTTCCGTCTGTGAGTAAAATTTTCTGCATTCACTGCCATATAGTAGAATTGATATTAGATAGCAGTTCAGCACAATTCCTCAGTTTGTAACGAATTTTTTCCCGTTTCTTAATACTTTCTTAATTTTCGGAAGGCATCGCCATTTCAATGTGCCTTTGTGTTTTGGTACCACAGTTTCCATAATCTGTTAAAACACTTTCCAGATATTTAAATTTAGGCATTGGCTAGATTTTGACATCACCAATACGTAGGTCTCATCTTGGACTCTTTCTCTTGCTGACAACAATAAATTCTGTCTTCTTACAGTTAGTCCTTTCTTCCGTCTCAAAATTGAGAATTCTCTGAGGGTTACTTGGATCAACAATATATCGTATGTAGTAAAAACCAAACAAGCATTCATCTTTTTGCAAGAGATTAACTTCTCACACTTATAAAATGTAAGGTTGTAAGGTTGAGAAACGGTTACGTCATATCATTTAGTTATTGACAGCACATCTTCGTAACTGAATTTCGACATCTGCTTGTTACACACCAACGAGATTCCCGACTCAGATTAGATCTAGATGTAGATTAGATCTGTTGCAGACCTTATCAGAGATCAGTTTCAAAGTAAAGTTTGTAAATCATTTCAGCTTCCAGTTCTGAAGAGTCCTCACCAATATTCACGCTCGTACGATTCAACTAACCCCGGCATACGATTTCAATGTCCTCGTCCAGAGGGAAAATACAACATACCGCAGTATACAAAAGCTATAATCGACAGATTTATAGGTTGATCTAACGTGGGTTAATTATATGAGACTTCCTAACTTCTAAGCAATTCGATTCCATTCGGACTTTGGATTTGATGAACGTTAACTTAAATTCAACATTAAAACTGATACAACAAGTTCCAGAATTCGGTGAGAGAAATTCTTTGACTCATATAAATTTATATCTACTAGAAATACCATTGAATATTTTACGGTTTTCCTATTTGAAATTCTAATGAATCCCAATTCTTCAGTTAACTTTTGAATTTGCTCATGCCGAGTTCTAATACAATAAAATATCCGTAGAAATTCCCCTATCACGTTGTTAAATATTTCAGCTTAACAGATTTAACAGAATATTGCAATAACAATCAGAAATACGAATGCTGATCATTATCTTAAGAAGTAAGGGGATACAAATGAAAATATTTTAAAGTGACAACTTTTTCATTTCACTGAAACAGACGTTAAATACTTTTATTTACCTTTCTTTTTTCTTTCTTTCATTCATTTTCTCACTGAAACAAAATAGCGTCTCTAATATATTTTTCCATCTTTACATGCTATCGAAACAGAATAGTCTATCATTTATGAGGTATGGGCGGGGAGTAATGGAAATACTAAGCGAAGGGCAAATAGAATCATATATCAATATTATTAAATGTATTTTTCTGACTCTCTACGTCTGTAAGCCTCCTTTCTGCTAAATTTGGTATTCCGTCCCGAAAAAATGATTCCAGTTTTGAGTTGATGAGTTTTTCAGAGAACATTTCGACATCTTTAAGCCGTAGCAAGTGATATAAGGAAAACTACATCCAGGCTACCTCATTTTTCGCCCAGTACAAGTTCAGAGAGTCACTCAAGATAGAGGATTACTGAATTGAGTGCTATATATTTAAGAGGAGGAAGTACGAGGATAGATAACGATTGACTGTGGACGTGAAGAGGTTAAGATTGTAATGTAAAATTATGTCCTACAAAATAGCGGTTCTTGGATGAAGTAATTTTGAAGGGAACATCCTTCTTGCCAAAGTAATGCGTCGTATTTGTAACGTGAGGATCAGCGTTTTCCTGCAACAAAATCGCCGTTAGCCTTTCTTTGACGAGAGGAACATGCCATTAGAAACTGGAATTGCTCAACTGAGAAGAATTCTCACTTTTCAGGTTACAATTTCTTTCCGCTACAAGTCGTGTCGTAACAAAAGTAAAAGTGAAAGTGAAACTAAAATTGAAAGAAAGCATGTACCCAAGTCTCCGAGGGCAAACAACCAAAAAATTAACGTGGATATATATAGATCAAATGTAAAAATTTTTTTTTTTAAATATCACCTTAGAAAATATTTTTCAGTAATAAAGAAAAAAAGAAACGGAAGAAAATAAATACTTTCCAAGCGTTTGACTATGAAGAAGTAAAATTTTATTTAGATAAACTATAAAAACTTCTAGTAATTTAACTACATATAGACCAAAATCTTCGTTTATTCTTACTCGTTTACTTACATGTCTGGTGCGTAATACGTTTGTCCGTGCGATCCGACAAATGCCCCGACTAAAACCGCTGGAAAAACTGAAAAAAAAATTGTATAAAATAATGATACAAGGAAAATTATACTGATATATAGAGAATTTATATGTGTGTGTGTGTGTGTGTGTGTGTGTGTGTGTGTGTGTGTGTGTGTGTGTGTGAGTGCACGTTTCTTTGAATATGACAGACAACGTGCTTTGTTTAAGTTTTTATACAATTTCTCATATGATCTAATAATATTTTTTTTATTTTCGGATGATAAATTATATAAAACCTGTCCAATTGTTTTTTTTTCCCAAGCGCTTTCGGCTATACATGTGAAATTGTATAAAAATACTTAATCAACCTTGTCTGTCATATTCAATGAAACATGCATGAAAGAAGGATTGCTGCCTAAATACACATTATATATATATATATTTAAATTTATGAGTAAAACATTCTTCTTTATCAACAGAAGATGTTAATACCTCTAATTCAGTGAAGAGAGGCGTGATAGAAGACTCTTATTTAACAAACTATTATAGAGTCGCCAGTGGCCACGAGAACGAAACTTGTTAGAGGCTATACGGTGTCTCATTCTATCAGCAAACAAAAACTTAACTTCTTTGAGGACACGTTTACAATTATTACGTTCAAACGCAAAGACGCTCCTGTTGAGCTTGTAACTATCACAGTGGTACAGGGGGGAAAAGTTATTCCTGTGGGCTATAGTGGCTGAACAGGCAAGTATAAATCAAGAAGAAGATTGTGGTTTCACCTGGTATTTCCAAGAAGGAACAAAAGCATCGATGCCGGCTATAACCAAGAAGAAACCTTAGTAAGAATTTTAAGAATATCAATCCATGGGCATCTCGAAGAAAGTCACAAAATGAATCCCAATCAGTATATGTTAGTAACAGAAAGAAGTCTTGTGAATAGGAGGTTCCTTTCCAATAGACGACTCAAAAGAAATATAAATAGCTACTAATGCATGATCCGAATTGCTAAAAGGACACGGTTGTGATTCTCAACAAGAGCTAGGAGAGGAGGTAAGGAAGAAATTAAATGAAAAAGCATGTTGCTCAGAATTATTAGGGAAACGAGTAGGGAAATTCACTATTTGACTGAGAGACTAAGCAATGGAAAATTTGTAAGTCCGAATACCGGTAACATTAGAATGAGTAAGCCACTTCAAATTACCAAACATAAAACTGTTCGCATATATATATATATATATATATATATATATATATAGAGAGAGAGAGGGGGGAGAGATTATATTATCAAATATATTGTCTAATATATTACAAACCTGAGAAGAAGGAAAGTAATAACGAAAAAAGAGGTAGCTAACAGAGTGCAATAACGAAAGTCGAAATCACGTGAAAGAATCATCTAGGAATTCAAGAGACAATTCCCTTGCCATTGAAAGATTTTCCGCGTATAAACACGAAAGCCATAGTTATGTATCCTAGAATCTTTTCAACGAGATAAGCTGGAACAGAGAATTCATTGGCAGTAATAAAATAATTTAAATTAGTTTCGCAAATGATAAGATGTCTAGAGAACCTTTCACTTGAAAAGATTCTACACTATAGAAATTGGTACAAATACCACAAATAGAATAAAAGGTTGAGTGAAGTAGAGGAGTTTTTGTTTACTGGTTTACCCGTATTTCTTTTCAGTGTATCTGTCATAAGATCATGTTTCAAGGCGAAAAAGGTTAAAATAATTATCATTATCCATCGTCTATGACAATATAAAATGACCAGAAGTTAGCTACGGCTAAAGCATAATGTGGCCCCAGGAAATACACCAAGGGACATCTACCAACATGGCACTGCAAATACCCTGATATTATGCAATTGTTTTTCAGAGCAGCCTCTCTAAGCGCTACCAAATTGTTCGCATTCCTTACGACGAGCAACCAGAAAACTTCCAACCCGATACCTTCATCAAAAAATTAAGGCTGTTAAATCATTATGGCCATAGTAAAAAATAAATGTATTTTTAAAAAAATAAGTTTTAAAATATAATTAAATTAAATTTTAAATTAGTTACCAAAAAGGATTTTCAAACGCTTCATTCTAAGTGAAATTAGAGTTATGTGTAAGTAAATAAAATTTCTCTTTTAAATACTCTTCAGCGAGAACTTATTTTTACGGAGTTTTTAGCAATATAAGGGAAATAACTCTATAATTAATTAGTAGTTACTTCCCTTGAAAAGTTCATGCGAGCATTATATAAACTATCTGTATTAACTGCATTATTCTGAAATTGTATTTTGCTCAAGAAAACAATTATAAAATAATGTTTTAGGATTTCTCTATTTATCTGTTTTAATCTTTAAAAGATCAATTCCAAAAATAAATTGATTTATTTTCAGTTATTTTTTTTAAATGTAAATACTTCATACACACTGACTGACGTAGATTTTGAATTTTAAAAGATAAAACTTATTTCAGTTTCTTCTTATATATATATATATATATATATATATATATATATATCGGTGTGTGTGTGTGTGGTGGATTGGAGTAGTTGTAAATACATACATACACACACACACACACACATGTATGTATATATATATATATATATATATATATATATATATACATCTTACTTATTATAAAACGCAGATTGTGTGTGTGTGTGTGTCTGTAACGTTTATATATTGGATCGGATTTCATTTTTTTCAACTGATTTCAATAAAACTTCACAGGACTACATAAAATTACCTTGTGGTGGTTCTAACAGCGCCAAAAAATGGGAAAAAATATAATTGTTTTGCACAAAATCAATTTGAAAACACGATTAAGAGACATCGTGAAAATGGAAGGGGACAACTCACATCGGGCTGTTTGTGTGTGTGGGTTACTTTAAATATGGGGAGCGGATTTCCTATATTTTTCAGCCGATAAAACAAAACTTCACTTTTTTTTTTTTGGCAGGTAGTGTTTCTTATTCTCTTGCACACTTTTTTCTTTATTTTTACATTCAGAATGCTTTACAAATTCCATATACAAGACAATTGTTTATAATAAAATTCTATTCAATCAGTAGACTCATAACGATTGAAAACAATGTTTTTGTTGAGTTTGACCAATTCGTAAAAAAAAAAAAAAAAAAACTAATTAAGACATGCGTGTCCATCAACCTTAAACAATAATCTTTGTCAGTTTTATTTTTCAGTCTTTATGATGGTGGATACTTGATCTATCTCTTACTGTTATATCCACGGGCAACGCCGGGCTCTACTGCTAGTATATATATATATATATATATATATATATATATATATATATATATATAGGATAGATATGATAGGAAAAGGAGAAAATATGAAACTTTAAACTATTTAACATGTTTCATCAGAAAGTGAAATATGGAGGAGAATAGAAATTTGTTCTCTATATTTCTTTTTCTGATGAAGCTTTAATAAAAATGAAACATGTTAAATATTTTAACATTTTTCTCTCATATATATATATATATATATATATATATAATTCAAATTTTATTGAAATCAGTTTTGTCAATATTTTGATTTAGAACATTCCTTTGGGGGACAACACTGGAATATATATTTTCCATTTTACGATAAACCACTATTAATATAAATCGCTATTAATATAAATCACTATTAATATAATTATTTAAGCTTAACTTGGATGCTGCACAAGACTACATATACGTGTTACCCAATTACGGAAAACAATATAAAATGTTTATAAATATTTTCGAAAAATTTCCATGTTGAAGAACTTGACCGAATCAAAGGGAAGTAACTTTATAAGACAATCGAACGATTCTTTTGTATACGGTTTACATGAGATTTGATCTCCTTGTAACTAAAATATATTTTATATATTCATGCTTAATGTGCATCGGCCTGTTTATAGATTGCAGATCATTTGCAAGTGTAACAAAATCGACCTCCAGTAACTCTGGAAATATCTACTCAGTAAGTTTTAAGAAAAAAATAAGAGCGTAAAAGAAAAAGTGGAGAAAATGTAACAATGCAGGAGCTGAGAATTTTGCAGAACTGTGGGTAATGCAGATTTTGGTAGACAATAAAAATGTTGAATGGTTTGAAAGGTTTAAAACGAAATTACAACAGCTAAAAATAATGCATTCACTCTCAGGTTTAGGGTTAAATTAATTCGAAAATCGGAAACCCTAATTTGAAACAATAGGTATTTTGGCTACTATTTTGAATCATTTGGTAGAAATTCCTATTTGTTCAGGTTTTCAGGGTTAAATTGTAGACGAATCAATCTTCAGAAAAATCTTCAGTTGAAACCCTAATTTGGAAAGTCCTAGCAATAGGTATTTTTGATGTGACTGTAGTCGCCAGTTGGAGAATCGTGGAATAAATCTTCAGTTGGAGAGCAACAAAGATATGGACATTAGTCAAAAATAAAAAACGTTGTTAGAAGTCAGAAACTACTGAATCATGGCAGTCCCTAGAAATAAATACTTTGCCACATAGAAATAAAGAAAAAGAATCTAATATTTACACTCCACAGAAAATATTGCTGACATCAAATTAAACCAACTGTTACTGTTTATAAAAGAGAGTTATATTCAAAATTTTTATAAAACTGTATGGCTAGTACGGTCCCAGAGATCTGGCAGAATTTGTCGAGTATATCTTTTCCAGAATCTAAAAAACAAACGTGGCCTGGGGAAGACCAATAGAAGATTGCCGAATCGACTGTCAGTTGAAACTCAACCACCTAGATGCAAAGGAGGACAAGGCCCGTGGAGCGAAAAAAAAAAAAGCAGTAATAAAAGGTATGGGCGAGGAAAAAAAGAAAAATCAGAAAAAAAAAAAAGGGATAGAAGGAAAATGAAGAAAGAAAGATAACTGCAAAAAAAGAGACACAAGAAGAAGAAGAAGAAGAAGAAGAAGAAAAAGAAGTAGTAGTAGTTCTGATTGTCTAGAATGAGGAGGTATTATTATTCATATTATTTACATCGATTGGAGGTGTGAAACTTCGGCCTTTTCAGATCCAAGAAACGTTCAGAAATATTTAAAGGTAAAATTGTTCTCGAACTGCTGCCCAGCTGTAGGGATATCCCAAACGAGCGCCTGTTTCTGATTCTGATTCTAACCTAATAATTACTATACCACAAAATTCACGAATGAACTCTTTAATACTCTTGGCTGTTTTGGCAGGGAAATTCTGAATCTTGGAACCTTAAAACTTATTCTTATTGTCTCTTCACTAATCGATTCACTTTCAGACGGACGGCATCAGCTAAAACGGAATAATAACTGTTTGTTTTCCACGGCGGGTTATTTAAAGGGAAATTACAAAGATTTAGAGTTTTAATAAAATGTTTTTTCCCAACGGTATTTGCAGAACTGGAATTAGAACTCGGATTTCTAATGAATAGCGGCTTATCCATTGCACCACCCGATTGAAGAATCTCAAGGGTCACCCTTCCAGATACTGCCAGAGTTCTTAATGATCCCAGTCGAATCCATTACATTCATTTATGTGCTAATACACAATGGGAAAGGGGGAGAGAAGAAGCCAGTCAGTTGGAGGTGGAATGAGTCTTCTTCTCTCCCCAGCTATTACATTCATTTATGGATAAACTTGGGAAAGGCATGCCTCCAAAAATTCTTATACGTAAGGTTTAAATTTATTTTTCATAAAGAAAAAATCCTTTTCGAAGCTTCCCCCAGCTTCAATTCAAAGCTAAAGGATTAAATTTTCTAATTTTAGAAAAAAAAAAATGCTGTGGAGTATTTCAAATAGAAATTTGAAGGATTTTTAGTCGATTCGTCCGAAAAACCACTCAAAACGGCCATTTTTAACTTCTTTTAGAGAAATGTAAACAAACTTATTTTTCGGTTTTGAAAATCCCGATAAAATAAAATATACATTTCTGAAACGTTACTTTCATAAAATTAAGAGAATAAATTGTTATAGAGAGGGAAATGATCGATAGAATGAAATATAATAAAAGAAAGAAAGAGAGAAGCAATAAAAATTAAGAGATTAGAGACAGAACGAGAGAGGAGATACATATAGTAAATAGGTATGCAAACGATAACATGGTTTATGGGGGAAACTCCAAAAGTCTAGCTGACCACAGCCTGGCAGCTGATCTATCCTCTAACCTAGCCATCACAATTCAAATTTGAATATTCCATATCTCCAAAACCAAAGCGTTTCGTCATCACCGAAATGTTCCTGGATTTTCTCATCGCATAATAAACATTCCTATTGCTAATGATGCTTCTTGCCTCGACAGAATGTTGTGATTCAAGCTCACTACAGACCTCAAGTGGAATTCCTATATACGATCCCTGACTAAACATTCTAGAAAGTGTCAGTTCCGTGTATAGCTCCAGAAAGTAGCTGATTTCTGTCATATAAAAAAAAAAAAGTGAAGGATATCAAAACGAGGAAGACAGTGCGAAGGTTTAGAAAGAGGAAGGAAAGAAATTGAGGAAGAGATAGTTTAAGAAAAAACAGACAGAGGAAGAGAGTGGAAGGGAGGGTGTGGAAGGGAAAGAGGAAGATAAAGAAATACGGAGAAAGAGAGAGGAAGAAGGTAGAAGGGAGAGAGCGATGGAGAAAGATAGATAGATTAAGAAAACAGAGAAAGAGAGATAGTTAATATTACTTACTCCAGCCGATGATGTAATATCGCATTAACGATCCAGATTCGTTTGTGTCTCGGTGTGAGTGAGCAGAGTAAGTGATGACAATATACAAGTTAAACGCTTCGTTCATCACCCAGCAATAAGTGGCCAGGAAAAAGTAATGAAGCAAAATGGCGAATACTTGGCATACAATCTGAAAGAGGAAAGCGACACACATGAAAAGTGAACAAACTCTTTCCCATTTACAAGCACTAAAAAGAAAAATGAACAAAATACAATCTAAGTTTCTTGGAGGAGCAACTGTTTCCTCTGTTCTATTGTATGGCTGCTCATCTGGGATTCTTAGGTCAAAACTGGAAAAGGATCGGGTGGGTTCTTTAGTCGAATGTCACTTGTACATATTGACAAACCAATGAGCGATTGTATGGAAACCTTCGTCCAGTATCTGAAAGTGCGTAGTCAGATTCTCAGGGCGTTGTTGGAGATCCAAAGATAAAATTGTACGTGAAATTCTTTTGTAGGGAAAGGCTAGCAGAGGACGGCCAGCCAAAGACCTCTATCAAGCAGATGTGTGACGACATAAACTTCAACCCTTCTGACATGCCGAATATGATGAACAATAGAATTGGATGACGACATAGAGACACGGGAATCCCAGCAGGCATTGCGACCAGATGATGATGATGATGATGATGATGATGATGATGATGATTTACTTAAAATATTAAAATTAGAATCTAAAACTTGACATTATTGTAATCAGGAATAATGACCCTTATTAATTCTTAAATAAATAAAATTTGAAAGAAACCTTAAGAAATCGTAAAGCGAAAGAAACATAAACGATATATATTAACTAACCGTTTAGATTAGAACATTTAAAAAATGCGAATACATATTCATAAATAAAATACAATTAAATTAAATATCATAAAATCAAATAGAATAGAAATGCTGAAAACTCACTTTATAATCGTATTTATCGATACCAACCATAAAGACAACTTGGCTGAATACAATACACAAAGAAAGGTTTTTGTGAAGTGCTGCTGTACTGGACGAAGTCCTGAAAAAAAAAAAACAAAGAAACTTTTATTCTTTAGCAATAAAAATTAGGGGAAAATAACCATTAAATTACAAAATAAAGAAAAATGATTAGATAAATAAAGTTAATATTATTTTAAAATATACTAATAAAATATCTGTACACATCAATGAAAATATGTCTAAATTAGTTGCAGTAAATGTTTAAGCTTGTCTTGAATGGCCACGTTTCTCGGTCTTTTTATGCGTGTGTCCCCAAGACTCTATCTTTGAACCTAATTTTCATCAATCACCTTCCCAATATTATCAGTTCTCGGCTCGTTATCTATGCTCGTATCTAACGGATCTTCCTTGTGCTACATCTCATCATTTTATATTTTAATTAATTAATTAGCACCAATTATTTCTATCATCACTAACGACGGTTTTTATACAAAAAAGCGAATTATTCTCCTTGATGCATAACGTGTTTACGTAAATTCATTTTTTTTTTCATTTTTAAAATATTTTTTTAATTTTTCGTCTGTCGAACGTAAGATTTTGATTAATATAAATATAAATAATTAATTTAAATATTTAGGCAACAATAATAAAATGAACAAATCCTAACACAGTTAAATCAAAACCACGAGAAAAGAAACTACATTTATGCCTAATAATTTTGCAATTAACTATGAAATGTTAAAAAAATTGTCTCTGAAGTTACTTTTTCGAAGCACTCAATTTTTTCCTTGTCTGTGTAATAATAATAAAGAAGAAAATATTTCGAAAAATTTCACCGGATAAATGCAAATATCAGTAAAATAAATATATATATATTTCCACAAAATACAAAAAAGTAAATAAATGAATAAAAAAATTTAAACGAACAAAAGAATTTACGCTAAAACCTTTATTTAGTTTAATAAATACACATACCAAATTTGCTGGCCCTATTGATGTCGTTTGACCGTGTACAACAGACAAATTATCCCATAATAAATAAACAAATTTTACAAAAGTAGATAAAGGTTCAAAATAAATATTACAGAACTATAAGATGGAAAACATTCTTGTAATCAACAAAAATTATTTTATACTTTTCCCAACAAAAATTTCTCAAGAGTTTCTTATGAAGCAAAATCAATTTATCAGCATCTATTTGAAAAAATTAAATATCGTGTGATCGAATATCTGAATATCTTTACAGTTAAAATTTAAAACAAATGAAAAAATTCTTGTAAAATTTAATTATTCATCAAAAGAAATTTATTTCTTCAGGCAATAATGACCTTATTGCTTATTTACAAAAACAATTAAAAGCTTTTCTAATTAAGTAATAACATAGTTTTATTGGATTCATTATTTTTCAATTCAGAGCAGATTGTCAGTTAGTTAGCTCAAATTTGAAAAAAAAAAGTAGGTGATTTACCATCTCCAATGACTCGTACTTTAAACAAAAATTTTTTTTTCAGGAAAAAGAAAGGTTTTGGACGAAATTTCATGAAAATAAGTAAGTGGGGTGTAACATATTTAAAAAAAATATATTTTTTACCAAAATTTTCTAAAACGAAATATTTAAAAAATAATTTCATTCATTTGTGAATAAGTCCTGAAAATTTCATTAAAATCGGACAATTACTTGATTTTTACAAGAATTTCCAAATCAAGTGTTTTCAACGGAAAAAAAGCGCAAAAAAATAATGTTATTTTAACGTCACCGCGATGACGTAAAACAAAAGAAGACTTTAACCAAAATTTCGAACGTGTTAGAAAATATTAAAAAATTTCAAAAAATAATTAAAATATACTTTTTTCTTTCATCTTAATAATAACATAAGCATTTTGACGATAAAACTTTATTTTCGTTACGTTTGTGGCATTTTTCATAACGCTATGCTGTTTTCCCGCGAAAAAGCGTACGTGCCTACTTTACACGCCGTCGATTTCTGGTAGATATTTAAATTATTGTTTATTCATTTGTAATCATAGTTTCTCAACAGATAATTTACACGGAGAAATTTCTTCTTTTTTTTTTTACTTTAAACATTATTTTGAGTGCATACGCGTAGCACCGTTTATTTAAAATATTATTTAATTTCGTCTATCGGCCTGCAAACTCGAGGCAAGTTTTAATAAGTTTATTCGAGTGTGCAGACCGGTAGACGAAATAAAATATTCTGTTTAAAATAAACAGATCGTCTAATCAAATATGAGCATCTGTTGAAAATAACCTTTAAAGTAATAAAATATATCGGTTAAAAACTAGAATCCATTTAAAGAAAAAAATTAAAGATAAAAATATAAATGTTTGATAAAGAAAAAATAAGACGAAATAAAAATGAGAAATTTCCAAGGGAGGTTACTTTAAATTTTGTGAAAGAGTTAGCTCCCATATAAATATTTGCACACATACACACACACACACACACACACACACACATATATATATATATATATAATATATATTAAAGAAAAACAGACCACTTTAAGGTACAATTATAATAATTTATTTCCCCAGAGCCCTTTTAAAGGACGTCGGATCATCAGATAACACTTCCAAAAATGAAATGAAGTGCTATCTGATGATCCGGCTCTGGATTTACATTGAGCTCTCAGGATTTCATCCTCCTTGAGATTACCCATACGGATTACCAAATTCTTCATAACTTATATATATATATATATATATATATATATATATATATATATATATATATATAAGACCTTAGATAAACATCAGAATAAATTTATTTCTTCATCTTGTCATTGTGCAATGCACAATTAAAATTCGATATCAGTCTCCAGGTGCACCAACACAAGCACACGCAAAAAAAGCATCGAAAATTCAGATGAAAGACGATGTGTTTATTGCATAATATTTGCATATTGATTTTATCATTTTATCCCTCGATAATGTCGCACTCTGATAATTTTCAACTTATTTTAAACATATTACTTTTTTCTTTCAAAAATAATTGAATAAATTTCTACGATTAAAGCTTTTAAGGGAGATAACTTTGAAAAGCTACAAGGGAGATAATCATGACTGTTCATTAAATTTTGTTTCCAGTGATTTGTAAATTAAAATAGATGAGATCAAAAGCCTCGCAAACATTCTACAAAATATTTAGATCATATTTAATGTATCTTATGATGACATTTACAGTAAATCTCCGAAAAGGCCACATTTTCAAACCTTTCACTATCCTCTTTATTTACAATTTAAATTTTGTACAAAAGATCGTGTGTATTATGTTATTGGATGCAAATTATGATTTCAAGCTTAAATCTGTATAGAATTAGAATAGAGATGTGTGTGACTATTGTCCTCATCTTTGTCGCCATATTTGTCACAACGTTTCGGCCGTTGTACGCTCCGGCCTTCTTCAGGTGGTTGGAATTTCGAACTGAACCCTTTATTTCGATCACTGGAGTAGACTGTTCTAGTTCCACGTGCCATGTTTGATGGATGTCAGTTATCAGTTATCTCCTGCTAATTTTCCCTCTGAAAGTTCTCCACTGCCTTAACCGGGTATTGAACTCACCTTCTTTGGGTCTGTCACTGGATCTAACCAACGCCTTTATCCACTGTGCCATGTGTCCTTGATACTGATAACTGACATCCATCAAACATGGCACGTGGAACTAAAACAGTCTACCCCAGTGATCGAAATAAAGGATTCAGTTCGAAATTCCAACCACCTGAAGAAGGCCGGAGCGTACAACGGCCGAAACTTTGTGACAAATATGGCGACAAAGATGAGGATAATAGTCCGACTAATGTAAATACTGTACATAATACCTCATCTCAGAAATATAGACAGACTCAGATGTGTGTGAGTATATTACTCGGATGTATGGCGGTTAAAGAATTCGTTTCTCTATTTAAATGATGAAAAAATATTCATTTTATCTCTAGCACATTTGCTTGGAGACTTTTACATGATTTTACAAGTGAACTCACCTCATTTTTTTTTTTACTTTAGGTAGAAATGATTTATAAACATGTTTCAGAATTCGAAGAAAAATGACAAGTATTTAAAGCTTCAAATTGATATCAATCTCTTTAAAGAAAAAAAAGTTCTGTTAATAAAGCCAAAAAGTTATGTTAATAAAGACAATACTCTTAATTCAGGAAGTCTGTTGCATTGTACAAGGCATTTCAGCATTGTTTTCTTTTTCATAATAACTTTTTTGGTTATAACTGAAAAATAATTCAAATACTCACAAACTCACCTCTTGTTACTGCATAGATTCGTTCAATTATATTATCTTTTTCTTTTCTCCTGAACTTTGTGAAAGTCACGAAGAAAACTTGGTAAATGTATATTGTAACACCCGAGCGCTAATATCCCTTCAAATTTTTCCAAAAAAGTCTTAATTCCGTGCAAATGTATATGCTTAACTCAAATCAACAATTAGATATTGAAGAAACCTACCTTTTTGGATGTTAACGACCAGAAATAATTGGACTTCTTCTCGCTCTTCTTGTCATACTTTAGGGGCTTATTGAGAGACATTCGCTGCTGAACCATTTCGCGCACTTATACAATTTTGGCCTAATTACTCCCTCAACGAAATTAATACGCGTTTTTTTTCTTTTTAATTTAAAGTTAACTTTTAACTTTCAAATGTCTGAAAGCAAGTCTAGATTTTACCTTATTTTTTTTAAGAAGAAAGTTAACTTTCAAATGTATGAAAATATCGCCAAATAAAAGAATAACACAGTACTTTCAAATAATGAAAATATCGACAAATAAAAGACTAACAAAGTAATTTTCAAATGTATGAAAATAAGTGTAGTTTTTACTTAATTTTTTAAGAAAGTTAACTTTCAAATATATGAAAATATCGACAATTAAAAGAATAACAAAGTACTTTCAAATATATGAAAATATCGATGAAAATACTTATAAATTATAAATAACAAAAAGAACAAAATAAGTAGGACAGTAAAGCATTTTTTAATATTATACATTGAAAATAAAAAACAATAATTAAATCAATTGTAAGAGGAAGTTAAAAGAATGGAAAAAATGACATTGACAATTTAAAAACAAATGCAATATAGATGTCTATAACGAAGTAGGTCCTGGATACAGTCTGCTCGCCTCTCTCAGGAAAATGTGAAGGCGCTGACTATGTTTAGGGACTGCTTTTAAGAATAAAAAACGAGCAATGTATTGTTTTAAATACAAAGTTCTGTGTCCTGATCTTTTAATTACATCCTTAGTCGTTCTCCATAGTCTTTCAACCGTCTGCGTGTGGATAGTTTGATCTGTTGGATCTACAAAGTGTTCAGAATGGTTGATTTGTTTGTGCGTGTACCCGTGTTCTGTTATCCGCACATACGCCGACCAACAATCACTGTAAATGATTGATCCTGGTCGGATGTGTTGCATAATCAAGGGAAGAAGGTTATGGGCATCCCTGGCTTCTCCTTCCCCGCAGTCGGACGTAAGTGGTACCATGAAGGTCTTCTTCGAGACTCTTTCGATCCCGCCATTAGACCGTTTTCATTAGACGTCCCCGGTTATATTTTCGCCTTGCGATAACTGTTTCGTCGATTTCTACCTCGACACCGGGTCCACCCAACTTCTCCTGCACATTTTCCAGCCAAAACTGGCACACCTCACTTCAGAAGGAGCGCCAATTCACTGAAGTGACTTTCGTAATGTCCAAGTTTTCGAACATTATCCTGTGGCACCAGCTAAGATCAAGGAAATGTGTTACAAAAAGTAGCACTTTCCACGCAGGCAAGCGTGACTTCTCCAAAAGTGTAGACGGGGACGTCTAATGAAAACGGTCTGGCTATTTGGAAGGTAGGTTTCTTCAATATCTAATTGTTGATTTGAGTTAAACATATACATTTGCACGGAATTAAGACTTTTTTGGAAAAATTTGAAGGGATATTAGCGCTCGGGTGTTACAATATACATTTACCGAAAACTTAACCTTAATTTACTAAGACTATATATTTTTCAACCAAGCAACCTGGTCTCAACTCCTTGTAATCAGATATCAGGTACTACTTATCGCGTCGTCGGAGTCATCGATGATTAAACCGACATTTAATTATTTATTTATTTTTTTTTATGATGATGTGGATCGCTAAACAACCAGCAGGATATTTTCAAAAGAAAATGAAAAAAAAACTCGGAAAATTGGATAGACTGGGATCTGTGTCACTGTATGCTTGCCTTATGGGAGTTTAATTTAGAAATAATGTCCGAGACCTGTGAGACGGTTATGCGCATATCACTCAGTAGAGCCTTTGTTCTAGGGGAGAAATCAATTGTGGGTACTTCAAATAAGTCGATTGTTGAGTTGGAAGAGAATTTCCGAGCAAAGCATTCAACCTTATCTGCTGTAGATGTCATGACAATCAGATGTGTCGTTCTTGTACAGCCGGAAGAAGTGATTCCTGTGGGCTATAGCGGTCACGCATGCAGGTGAGAACGAAGAAGATGAATGCGGTTTAACTTGGTATTTCCTTGCTGGAATGAAAGCATTGACTTTCACCCAGACTTTTCACGCACATTTATAAACAGGATGATTAAAAACTAAATTCCAAAGGACGTCATTAAAGAAGTCACGGAACGGGTTCCAATCTGTACGTTGATAATAGAAATATATTCAGATGGTAGGAGGTTCTTGACTGGTAGTGGAGCGGAAAGAGATGTTTACAGACATTACCGCGTGATCAGAGTTGCCAAGAGGGCAGAGCTGCAAATTACGACATGAGTCCGGGATAGATGTAAAAGAGAGATCCAGAGGGCAGCGTATCCATCATGGTTACTGGGTAAACGCGTGAGGAAGTCTATTACTTGCGTGAGAGAATGAGGGATTGAGAAGTTAAGAGTCTGGATTCCAGCGGAGGTCAGTGACACGGTGTATAACTCACCTGGCATGCTAGGCATTAAAACTACCAAACACAAATATAGATAAATGCAGACGGGTGTAGGGAGATGGCATCGTCTATATTATCACAAATACTATCTCGCATGCAACAGTCATGAGAAGAAGGGAAATGGTAAGGATTGAAGAGATAGCTGACTGAGTTAAGTAGAGACAGTCAGAGACACATGTAAGAGTGGTGTCACAAGCGATAAAAAAATGGATCGTTTGTGATAACGTTCGACCCAAACAGAGCTGGGAACAAATTTGCGAATGTGCAGAACCCGTGGCTAAAGTGGATTTGCATCGAATGAAGCTTTTGCCGTCTGTTTGATGAGGTTGCAGAGAGATAATTCTAACCAGTGAAAAAAAAGCATTGTGAAGAATTCAATGCGGCTATTCAAGAAAAACGGCTGTTTTTGGTAAATCAAGAAGGTCATTTTTTACCACGACAACGCAAGACTGCACGCTGAAAAACAACCCTTGCAAAAGTTTAAAGCGTTAAAATGCTAAACTCTCCGACACTCTTTGTATTCTCCTGACTTGGCTCCTTCGGATTTCCATTTGTTCCGACCAATAAAGAACAATTCAAATGACAAAAAAATATCTCTGTATAATCAACGAAAACCTACGTCTCAGCCATTTTCCAACAAAAAAAAATAAAAACGGCATCAACAAAAGCTTGTAGAACGATGGGAGAGAGTTGTTAAAATCAATGGAGACTCTGTATTTGACTAATAAGTGCTTTTTTGTTAGTACGTATAATTTTGTTAATTTTCTAATCGGACACGAACATTTGCAATGATCTAATATTTACATAAAGTTTTCAAACCAGTATACAATTCATTCATTTATCAATAAGTATTGAAAATTTCGTTATGAATCGGACAATTCCATGATTTTTGGCAAATATTTTAACAGCAATATGGATTTTTTACATTTATTTCAGAAAAAACGCATACATTTTGGTAGTACGTAATATATATATATATATATATATATATATATATATATATATATATAATTAAAAATAAAATTTTTACAAAAAACAATTTGTCAAAAAAACAGCTAAATTAGTGAAAAGACGTCCAATACAATTGGATACAAATTGTAGAAGGTCTTGTTTACAGAGTTAAAGTAGACACTATAAAGGGTCAAGAAAATGTGTTCATTGTTTTCACAGAAGGAACGTTTAAAAATGAGATCTTATAATCACAAATTTAAGCTAGCAAGGCACAGAAACAGTACAATAACTTGTTAGTTATGTATGGGAATGAAAGCAAAGAATAATAAAAGTCAGATTGGGAAATTGGATATGCTGAGAAAAACCTGGTCATTTAACATCGCGAATAAAATGTGTAAATCATGCCAAGAGGAGAAATTGACATAAGCTACTTAAAGAAAGATCATGACAGCATACAAGCACACTAGAATATTCCTCCTATGAACTCGGGTAGAAGTGTTTATATAAAATATGTCAATATTTTTCTATCTTCCCTCTTTACTTCTTTCTTTCTCCCCTTTACCAGCGACATAATTGTGTATATAATAATATAGTGGGATGGAATATCCAATTTTACTGACTAATGATACCTGATTGGTAGAAACCACAGTAGCAGGAAGGATAGTTTTAAAATATTTTATTTTATGTATATATATATATATATATATATATATATATATATATATATATATATATATATAATTATTTATTTAAAATATGATTCCATCGCTACATAAGAGTTCTCATAGTTCAAACAAGAGCCGAAAACTTCAATATAATTATTTGACGGCTCTTGTTTTGAAACATGAGAACTCTTATGTAGCGATGGAATCATATTTTTAAATAAATAATTATATTTATGCTCTGCTTTTGTATAGAGCACTATTTTGTAGAAAATAATAACAAATATTATTAAAGAATTTTTGGATTATTTACCTAACGAGTTCTTTCCTATTTTCTATATATTTTACACACACACACACACACACACACACACACGCACACACACACACACACACACACACACACACACACACACATATATATATATATATATATATATATATATATATATATATATATATATATATATGAAGAAATATACTCTTAAGGTGTGCTATATTTATGGGATAAAGTGCTCAATATCAGAGATAGAGCATGTGTAAATATAAAAGTGAACATAAAAGTCAACACTTAGAGGTGACAGTCTGTTTCATGCTAGATGCAATCGTCAGGCCTGACGATTGTATCTAGCATGAAATAGACTTGTCGCCTCTAAGTGTTGACTTTATGTTCACTTTTTTTTATACACACACACACATATATATATATATATATATATATATATATATATATATATATATATTTATTAGGATTCACTTGGATTACTTTACGCACAGATTTTTACATATATATATATATATATATATATATATATATATATATATATATATACTATTGTGTGTATGTGTGAGAGAGAAGGAGATTTTCAGGTGTGAACATGTAAAACAAGACTTTCTTCGACTAGGTTTTTATATCATGATATGGTCAACTAGTAATAGTAATTGGACACTCAATGGTGACCGAACTCACTACACTACGCTACAAGCTTGAGCTATGGCAAACGCCCTGTTGTTCACTGCAAATCTTGTGGAAAATGACGATGTTATACCAGTTTGCGAACCTGAGTCAGCTTGTCATTTTCTGAAAATTCATTGTGAGCCTCTAAAACCAACAGTAGCCACTGCGGCGAAATACGCACCATCTCAGCCACGTGGCGGGCAAGTGAAGAATAAAAGTATTTTGTAGCGTATATTAAACATATACTGGTACTATGAGGAAAACTGAAGAAAATAGTTTTGTCGTACTTATTCACTTATGAATGAATGATCCTCGGGAAAAGCGGAAAAGTAGGAAGGATTTTGAGAAAGTAAAGAAGGTAGAAATGAATGATGGATTTAAGGAAGGAAGTAAAGAAGGAATGGATAAAAGAAAGAAAGAAACAAATGAAGGAAGGAAAGAGAGAAACAAATACGAATAGGGATAAGAAGAAAGTTAAAGAAGCAAGGAAAGAAGGAAAGGTGGATTTTAGATGAAAGGAAGAAAGGAAGGAAAAGATAGCATAAATAAAGGAAAGAGAGAAACAAGAGAGAGAAGGAAAGAGAGACCCAGAGGAAAGAAAGAAAGTGAGAAGCAAATAAGGATAGATTTTTTTAAGAAAGGTGGAAGGAAGCAAGAAAAAAGGAAACGTGGATTTTAGTGCTACAAAAGGAAGGAAGGAAGGAAGGAAGAAGGAAAGAAGGAAGAAAGGGGGGAATTAGGTAAGGATGGATAAAAGGAAGGAAAGAAGGAAAGAAAGAGTAAAGCAAATAAATATAGATTTAAGAAAAGAAGCAAAGAAAATAAGGAAAGCTGGATTTTCGTGTTAAGGAAGGAAGGAAGGAAGGAAGGGTAGGGAAAGAAGGAAGGAAGGAAAGAAGGAAGGAAGGGGAAAGAAGGGAAAGGAAGGAAGGGAAAAAGAAAGGAAGGAAGGAAGGGAAGGGAAGGGAAAGGAATGAAGGAAGAAGGAAAGAAGGAAGTAAGAAGGAAGGAAAGAAGGAAGGAAGGGGGAAGGAAGGGAAAGGAAGGAAGGGAAAGAAAAGATGGAAGGGAAAGAAAGGAAGGAAGGGAATGGAGAGGAAGGAAGGAAGGAAGGAAAGAAGGAAGGAAGGAAGGAAGGAAGGGAGGAAGGAAGGAAGGGAGGGAGGAAGGAAGGAAGGGAGGAAGAAGGAAAGAAGGAAGAAAGGGAGGAATTAGGTAAGGATGGATAAAAGGAAGGAAAGAAGCAAAGAAAGAGTAAAGCAAATAAATATAAATTTAAGAAAAGAAGCAAGAAAAAGGTGGATTTTCGTGTTAAGGAAGGGAGGGAGGGAGGAAGGAAGGAAGGAAGGGTAGGGAAAAAGGAAGGAAGTAAAGAAGGAAGGAAGGAAGGAAGGAAGGAAGGAAGGGTAGGGAAAGAAGGAAGGAAGGGGGGAAAGAAGGGAAAGGAAGGAAGGGAAAGGAAGGAAGGAAGGAAGGGAAGGGAAAGGAATGAAGGAAGAAGGAAAGAAGGAAGTAAGAAGGAAGGAAAGAAGGAAGGAAGGGGGAAGGAAGGGAAAGGAAGGAAGGGAAAGAAAAGATGGAAGGAAAAGAAAGGAAGGAAGGAAGGAAGGAAGGAAGGAAGGAAGGAAGGAAGGAAGGAAGGAAGGAAGGAAGGAAGGATAGATTTAAGGAAAAGACGAACGTAAGAATAGAAAGACATTATGAAAAAGCCTTTGATTTCCACTTCATTTTCATTAAAGATGTCATTAAAATGAATGACTCTAACGGAAATATTGTTCGTTGACTTTTATCCCTAACAATCAAGTATTTTTCATCTTGTTTGTAATCTTGAAAGATATTAATCCAACACTAATCACCTAATCCTTTTTTGAATTAAATTAAACTGATAGGAAGGACAGGAGATTTTGATATTTAAATAATGAAAGCGGCAAAAGTATTTTTTGAAATAATCTATCATTTTTTTAATAGAAAATTTAAGCGCATTGCTAATCGACAAATATTGAAGTAACTTTTGGCATTTATAAATAGAAAATAGAAAAATTTCCGAAACTTATTTCGAAGAAAAATGAAAACATATGTTTGTCATCAGGACGTACAGTAATCCGAATGAACTAAGATATAAAAATTGCATAAAATATCAGGAAGTGCTTGTCATGGCAGATGATAAACAGTTACAACTCAGATGATAAAATAACATTTTTAAAACTTTAAATTCAATTTACCATGGTCTGCTAGAGTAACCGGAAGTTCTATACGAACAGTTTCTTCTCTCGCATTTCACGTATGTGAAACTCTTTTCTGACCTTTTGCTTCCCAGTTAACTTTCAGCTTCAAAATTTAAATACAATATCAATCGTTATTGATTCCTATTCTTTTATTGTTCTCTCTGTTTAATAATTTTTTTTTCTTTTTCTCATCTTCTTTCACACTCAGTCTTAGTGACTTTATTGGCTTGATTGGGGTAAAATGATTTTTTTTAAAAGTCAAGAAACATTTCAGTGTAAAAATGTACTCTGCTGCCAGTTGGGTACTAAGATAGATATGTTCAATCGGTGCCTGTTGAATTCCGTGTAAACGCCAGGATTTCACGTTTTATTTCTTGTTAGGTAAATCCTCTCCCGTTCCAATACGAAGATTGGCATAATCCAGTTTGTAGCAAGAATACCTCCCAGAAATACTTTCCACGTGATTTCTCCCTTCCTTACTTTCTCAAATCCTTCCTTTTCGCTTCTTTTTCAATGATTATTAGCGGCAAATGTGTCTTTACATAACTAATGTCTAATCATTATGTGACAGGTATTTCTGGGACGTATATGTGGGAGGTATTCTTGCCGTAGCCTGTATATCTTTTAATTGTTCCTATGTTTCATTGGACCCAATTAAACTTTATAAAAATGTCCCCTCATTCTCTGATTCAGTTTTGTTTATATTATTGACAATAAGCAGACTTACCTTAAATAAGTAAGCATTGCAAATGAAATTAGACAAAGTACAGCTGATACACTACAACCAATGTAAGATGCCACATTCATAAGATTCGGTCGTTTCTCTCCTTTGTCCCACTGAAGAAGAAAACAAGGAAGAAAGGTAAATGTTTCTTTAAAGTCATGTAAACCCAACCAGAATGGCTGAGGCATGCAAACAAATACTTCTTTCAAAATATTCACTCTTTAAATACAGAGTGGCTTAAAGGGTGATTTTAAAAAGGTAAAAATTGTGTTTTACTGAGAATTAAATCATACAATGTATTTTAAATATGTGATTACTTCAAACGTTATTTATAGTGGATACACGTATTTGAGTAGACGCTAAGTTTTTTTTAATATTTTATACATTATTTATTTCGTCTATCGGTCTGCATACTTGAGAAAACTTATTAAAAAAAGGTATATGCTTTCCAGCAGGATTCGAACCATCGTCTGATCCGTTGTGCTTTAACGGCTCGGCTACGAAGAACTTCTCAATCAGGAAAGATTTTATTTGCCTTTACCCTGCAGCTTCGAATTCTCCCAGCAGGTGCATTTTCTTTAATATATATTATATATATATATATATATATATATATATATATATATATATATATATATTTGTCGAGTGTGCAGACTGGTAGACGAAATAAATACTGTCTAAAAAAAAGTTAGAAAAACGGGGCACCTACTCAAATACGGGTATCCAATAGAAATAACGTTTGAACTAATAAAACTAGATTGGATTAAAAGATAAAATTCATTAATAATTTAGAGATTCCCAAAGTACAATTTAAAAATGAATAAAAATTATTTAGAGCCTGCCATAATTCTGTCGTCGGTTTATAACCCAGACAGACATTTTCCAATCATTATCGTGATTATGAATTTTCTGAATATCAATAATAGTTAAAAGTCTTCTTATTGTAAGAAGCAGAATTGTTGAAGAAAAAATGGATATACCCATTGTTTTATGAAGTCTTGAGACAAATGTTTTCATTATTCCACTTATTTTTTTTTTTTTTTGTTGTTTTTTTTGTTGTTTTTTTTTTTCAGACCAGATTCCTCATGGCTATGTCCAGAAGCTATGACTAACATAGTTTTGTATTTCTCTCTGCTAAAAAAATAAATAAAATAACACTTTTAATTACGATTTTTTTCAAAACTAACAGGTCCCCCCTATCAAAAGATTGGCGCAACACAGTCATATGGCATTATTTATCAACTATGCTTTCTTTTACCATATCGTTTCTAAACAATTTTTCGGTCGTTATCTTCTTCGCTCTTTCACAGGTATATGAAAAAAAAATGCAATTTTTTTAACCACGGAATGCAACAATGCCCTGATGAAGCCCAAAGAATATATCGACCGAAACGTTGTTTGAAAAATATAAAAATTCGAATGTGAATAGTTGAAAAAATATGGAATAATGAAAAAATTTCATTTCTGAAAATCAAACAATAAAAACGACTGAGGGATGTCTTGGCCGAAATCTGGGCTAAAAATAACAAGGGTAAGGATAATAGACAGGAATATAATGTATGGAAAACAATGAATTTACTTCTCAATAAAACACATTTAACAAAAATATATAAACCTAAATTTTAGGCCACCCAATATATCAAAAATATTGTTAACCAGCCTAAAATTTATTGTGAGCAAAATGTTAGGAACTTGTCACGTTATTATTATTATTATTATTATTATTATTATTATTATTATTTAGACGCTCAGCTTCTTGACAAATTTACAAATTTAGCAACCATACCTTTTGGTTTTGTTTCGATCGAGGGTGCCAATGATAACATACAGTGACATGAAATCTTTATTTTGTTCAAAATAAAAAGTTATAAACATGAAGAGTAATTGAATTATGATTACATTTCGATAAAAATTGTTAATGTAAATAGTTCATTATATATCTCCATACAGCAATTAATGCAGTTCGATTTTGCAGATGTCGAGAATATTCAAGAGAAAGTTTCAAAACTTTGAGTGTTAGCGTTGCTAAACATTTCAGGTTTTTTCTTTGTACAAATGTAATATCTGACTTTTAAGATAGTATTTGTTTTTAGGCTGATGTGGATTGTGGAAAATTTTCTGTATATATATATATATATATATATATATTGTTAAATAAAATAAATTGTGTCATATTTTTTTATATTTTCTCTAAATTACAGATTAATGTCCGTATATTAGTATTGAAATTATAAAAGAACTTTCTATAGTTCATCACCGTCTATTTATTTTAAGTTCTCGACTGTCTTAAGTGATTGTCAAAAATTAAAGTCCTCTGATGACTTTGTACTTCTGTTTTAAAGAGGAGGCGTTAATATTCAATGTTACGAAAACAATTAATTTAAATATATGCTCATGTGACAAAGGCCAACATCAGCCCTGGGACCTGGGGAAACTGTTGCTGCAAATCGGTCTTCTTTGTGTAGGACCATCTGTGTTGGAGCGTCAACATGAAAAGGATCTGCGACGTGCTGTCAGAAGGCCCGACTCGTCCAGCGGCGTCCACCACCCATACTCCTCTGTGCCTCCTGCTCACGATTCTTCAAGAGTAGTCTGGTCTTTCACAGCCATCTACGCTACCACCAACAAGGATCGGTAGAAAAGGAATAAGGAGAGAGGATGACGATGCCGAAGCTCGGAATCGAGCGGGTGCCGACGACGATGTGATGTCAGGCGAATGTGGGTAAACATAATCTAAAATGTATTTACATTTTCGGAATCCAACTGATGCCATATTCTCCTGATATCAAAAATATTTAAATTAAAGAATAACATCACGTTCACGTGATGTCGAATAGATTAAAAAAATAACTGATACGTCATTTTAAATTGAGGAACAAAATAATTATATGACTTTGATTCTTGACAATAACTGTAATAAGCAGACAATAACTGCGGACAATTCATTCATAATTTAAATTCTAATCTTTAGAAATTAATCCGTCAATTAGAGAAAAAATATTTTCAAATATAGCAGAGGCAATGTTTATATTCTATTTAACAAAACATGTATAAACGAACGTTTGCTGCCCCAATACACCCAATATATATATGCATACACACACACACATATATATATATATATACGAAGGTATAGCAAAAATTTCCGAGGAAAATTTCAAAGACATTTATTAATGAAATAATGAAAGAACTTTTTTTTTACGAGTTCTATCTGCAACTTCGGAATTTTGCAAACGACTTCTCCAGCTTTATAATCAGATGTTAAGTCGTATAGTCTTAATTTAAAAAATGTTGCACAAATATGTTGTAAAAAATATATATAGTATAAAAAAGATATTTCACTTACAATACTTTTTCGGATCTGTTTTGCTAATCCCTCGTATAAATATATATAAATTTATTTACTTTTGCACGTATGTATGGAAAGGACATTTGTGTGTCGTCACAAAAATAGTGAAAAAGTTTACACAACTAAAAGCGCGTGTGGGAGTCTTTGGATTGAATTAGTTCAATAATTGTAAGCACTTTCATCTGAGTGTAAAAAGCTTGCATTTAAAGTGTTGCAAGCGTGTCAGGTATTATTGAAGCAGAGACATTAGAGTCGTAAGTAATGCTGCCTCTGGAAACAGTGACTGTGAAAATGAGCAGTCGTCAGGTCATATTGCTTACTGAATCTGGGGTTGTGTGTGGACAGAGTTACTACACATAGAGAGTCGGAAGACAAGGTGCACACATGTGTCTGTGTAGATG